GAATTTATAGTTCACATTGAGTACTTGTTTTTCATCTCCCCTTTGCGAATAAAACATTTTAGTTTCCAGCTTTCATTCTTTCCACTTGCCCAGCATGATTGGGGGTGGAACCAATCCCCACTTTACCCAATTTGTAGTATGAGGTAATAGGTTTTAAATTTCAGAAACCTGTTTTCTCTATCTAATTCAATGATCGTGAAACAAGTGTGATTCATTTTTTTTTTAATGCTGCAAATAAAATGCCAATCCCCATGTATCACCCCCAATTTGAAATATTCTATTCCAGTTATTAAAAACCTGTATTATATTGCCAAAACATGAGCCCTTAAAGTGTTACCAACTTTGACGTCACAGATTACTATTCAGGGTACCATTAAATAAACGTGAAACTTCCATAGTTCATAGATAAATTAGTATTAGGCATTATTCTCACAAACTTAAGTAGCTAAGTGAAAGAATAATTTTTTAATGCAGATCGTGTCAGCGCATGGAGTTTCCTGGGAGCTACTCAAAAGCTCTTGCACGAGCAATCTCCACATATCATGTGTTGAACGATCAGAAGTAAAGGATCGTGAAGCTGCTGGCTTAAAAGTAGTATATTGCAGAATTCTTTTGCAATTCATTTTTCATCTCTTCGGCATGAAAGATCAAGTTTTCATTACAAATTTTTAATAACACCCTTGTAGGTTTAAAAAACATTAATGTATTGTGTGTATTAATAATAGAACAGTTTCAAAATAGCAGCAAATAGCATTTAATGTGTTTCTTCCAAGTTTAGATTGTAAATAGGATGCGGTGTGAATGAACCAATTGCCGCTTCATTAGGATACTTCTATACATCAATGTTTTAGGAAATTTTTGTGAATGTTGGTTAAGTTTTGTACGGCATGTATTCATGGTTCAACATTAGAAAATTTTGTACTTCTTCCAAACAATAACCTCTTATAGGCTTGTTCATTTGTTCAATGATCTTTCAGCAAACTTTTTTTTGTTTTGTTTTTCCTTGCCATTTCCATGTACCGACTGTTGAGATTAGTGGGTTTGTTTTTTTTTTTTTTTTTTTAATTATCCTAACTTACATTTAAAGTGTAGATCAGAAAGGTAATTTTCACCTCCTATAACTTGAAAGTTTTTTTATTCATCTGCAGAGGATTAAGGATGGCTTTGTTTCAACCTTATAATGCAATTTTTGAATTTCTTTAATATTGTAGCTTAAAACATTTGAAATGGATATTATTAATTCATTTTACTACTGATATACAAGTAATTTAGGAATGAGTATTAAAAAAGTAGAAAAAAATATTATCTGAGTTCTGAATTTTTGTTGAAAATGAGTTTCTGACAACCCATTATCTTCTTTGGAAATAAATCTTGCAAGATTTTTTTTTTTAGTATAAAAAGTATTTTTATTCTAGATTGCGCAACCTATTGTCTTGATCCAAAGAAATCCTCCCATTTTCTTAATTTTCCCTGAAGCGAACAAATGTATAAACAACACCCTCAGTGATGCAGTTCAAGAAACGCCAGTTTTGAAGTTGTGGTTATCTACCCTGTTCCATAAAGGTAGTATTTGTTTTATTTATGTATAAAATAAAAAAAGAATGATGTTCTGCGCTTTTAAAATATTGGATAGCGTGGAAAAACATGAGATCGTTAAAAAATTTCTCAAATTCAGCTGTAAAATTAAGCTGCCTGAAAAGCCTTGAAAACATTGTCCCAGATTTTGTTAAAGCTCAGTTAAATTGCAAAAGTTGATGTTAAAATGTTTTCTTACTACCTCCTTCTTCCAGTATGATCCAAGTTTATGAGAATGGCATTTTGGAATTCCAGTCGTTTCCTCTATGATGCAGTATCTGTTATACTGATATGACAAGTTGGCAATGTTTCCGACGTATGGTATCTCCCTCCCATTTTATCAGAAGAAGGAGAGACTCAATTTGACTTTTGCAGATAGAGAAAAAGTTGCATTGCTCGGACCAAGAGCGGCTCGTTGATCTCATGTGCGTAAGTAGATTATTTGCTTGGGAAAGAGAACTTGAAACTAGATCCTTTTTTATTAAAGAAGTTTTTTTTTTTTTGTATACAACTGTGATTTATTTTTTCAATTAATTGTAATAAGTTGGCAATGATTCATCTAACATTTTTAGCCATTTCAGGACCCTGTCTTAAAGAGCAAATAAGATTTAAATTAAACACATTGGATGATATTCAGAATTTATTTTAAACTACTTTTAACTAAAGATCAAAATCAGTACAAGTTAAAACTACATTACATTTATTGTTATTTTAGTATAAGTAGACACAAACTTACCTTATTTAGAAATTAATTATAATGCAGTAATTTAAAACTAGAATAAAAAAATATTTACAATATATACATTTAACTTGCGATCGTTCTGAAAGTGTGCATAATTCAAGCCTGTTTCGTCTTAACTCATCTCTGTGAAATAACTGAGTCAGTTACAAGTAAATGTATAGATTAACCGTCAAGGAAGAAGGAGGAAGAAGAAAAACAGAATGAAGAGAAACAGTGCGTAAAATCAACTGAGATAGAGAGAATAACCATTATTACATCGAGTACTCCACCAAATTAATTTTGATTATATGTTAATTAGTGCAACAGAAATTTGACATCAATTTCAGTGAAAAATTTGATTCTCCATGTATTTAGTTTGATCAGCATTAAACCCAGTCAGATGAAGTAAGCTAAAAAAAATGCCAAAAACATTGCCTACTTGTAATTAATTTAATTAAATAAAATCAGATATACAGAAAAACCAACTAAAACGTCCTGAATTCAAAATTCAACTAGTTAGTATTAACAAGTAATTTATAAACATTCATAAGAAGAAGAAAAAAAAAAATTTCAATATAATTTGTGAATAACTCTTGGTTAGTTGTTATACCTAAGACTAATTTGTTCCACTTGCCTCTTTAGGAATGTGGCAAGTTGAAGCAGGATGAAGCGCAAGAAAGAATGAAAGAAGCACACAAGCAGGAGTATAGTAAACGGCTAAAACTGAGAGTGAATGAACACAACTCAAATTGTCACTATAATTTTTCCATTATTTTTCTATCTCCCTGATCATGTGATGAGAAGACCCAAGACTCAGAAACTCATAGGGAGGCAGTTCTTGTAATTGTAAATGTATACAGCGACGTAACTTTATTCTTTCAGCGAGTATATAATGCACAAAAATGTTGCCATATTTTTCCTTTAAGAGCAATATTTGTGTTAAGATTATTTCGTGTTAAGTTTTGGGGTTAGACGTTTGGGTGAAGCATTATTTTTTTTTCTTTTTTAAATTCTTTTTGCTCACTACTCTTAATGTGGAAGATAAGCCAAAAGATAAGAAAGTTTGCTGTTAGAATAATATATACAGAATTGTTACCTTAGTGTTAGTTATTGTCAGTGTTGTAATGCATAGTGTTTAGTTAAAAGGTGTGAACTTTAGACCCATGGACAATGAACATTCCAGTAATCTGCAGATCAGTTTTTTTTATCAATGAAACATGATTCCGCTGTGCCGAATGTTGTGCTGTGTTTTGGTTTTTAAACTAATGCAAGCAACGATGTCTGAAAGAGCTTCGTGATAGACTGGAAAACGTAGACAAGTCCCAGGTATTTATTAAATCTTGGCCTTGGCATTGTTTGCCATGGTGATGTATTGAGACCGTGCCTTGCTTTTGTCATGTGTCTCAATAAAACAGGTTCATGTGAATTATATTTATAAGTTTTGCTAAAAACTCACTGGATTATGGTAGATTTATACATGACTCAAAACTCTATTTGTTGCTTGGGAAACGAAAGCTCAAGTGGATTCACAAACCTGTGTATATACATAGTCATTAGCTAAGCTGCAATATGTAATGAATCATATTAACTTCCTGATCATACAAAGGACTGAATTCTAGTGTGGCATTATCAATTGTTAATATGAATATTTTTAAGGTGCTTTAACGTTACAAGTGTGTGTATCCTTTTAAGAGTGCCAGAGAAAGTACGTTAGTTAAGAAGTAAATCATTTACATGAAAAAAGAGTATAGCAGTTGCTGATTAGCGCACAAAAGTTTCCTTCCCTAACAATGTGATTATCACCAATGATGTAGATTGTAGAAAACAATACATAACTGTTGTATCTGTAGTTAAATCTTGTAAGATTCCTATTCTTCCTTCCATTAGTTTTTAATATATATTTACAGTATAATTCTTCAAAAACAATTTATTAATGCATTGTGTACAAATGAATTGATAAAATATTGACAGAATTTAACTTGGAAGATTTTCTAAACAAAATGATGGAAGCACATGAGGTATTCTACAAGACCACCACATGCTGAACTTTCAAACCTAACAATCAAAATTAATCTTCAAAACTTAACCACCTCAGCAATGACTTGTTTGTGCTGCAGTGAAACGAAAATATTCAGTAGTTTTATACCACGAGTAGTAACTGGAATTGGAATGATCCAACAACCCAGACAAATGTCCTCCAAACTGAATAACACATCAGGGAGGAAAAGCCCTTCCAGTGCAGCTTGTCGTGCCAAAATATCAACTGTTACCAGATTGCCATAAAAATGCATTAGGCCTCTGAAACGTTAAAGTAAACTATCCCAATGAATAACAATACGATGAAATTAACTACAAAACTTATTTTAAACATACCTATAAAGAATAATGATCAGTTTCAGCCTGTTTGAGAAAGTCTTTTTTTAGTATATTCATGTCTTTATGGTCTGAAAAGAAAAATAAGTGAACAAAAATAGTGTACTTTACTTAACAAAATAAGACACTTATTTTTAAACAATTCAGAAATTGTTAAAAATACTTTCAGCTTGAATGTTCTAATAATTTCTAACCTCCAAGGTTCTGCAGAAGCCTAATTCCAGAACAGGCGAGCCCAATCTGCCTTACAATATGCATTTGCTTGAACACCCATGACACACACTTTTCTTGTAGCTCCAAAGGTCTTCATATGCCACAATAGGCTCCACACCTGCGTGAGCTCCCCACTAAGCATTCAGACACTGACAAGCCATTAGAAACTTTGTATATCTGCTTCAACAAGATGCTGCACCTTCCTTCCACCTTAATGTCCACCATTCTGTTGCACCTAAAACATAATAGGACAATTCAAAGCGGAAGCTCGGAGTAATATACGAAGTTCTTGAGATTGACAATGCGGCTTTGCTGCATCGCTTGTATGGTTAATACCAACATCCTGCCTATACTAATTTATTTTCAGTCCAATACCTGTCTGGATACTTTTAATTGAGGACATTTAGATTTGGGTGTCACAAATAACGGCATACATTCACTTGTTTGCTTTACAAGTTCTTCATTTATTAATTCAGTTTGTGCAAAGAGGAAATTACATCACTAAGAAAAAGCAAGCTGGTATTGCATAACACTAGAGAACTACTGTCTTCACCCCCTTATGACTCATGTCAAGCTCAAATAGTTTGGTACAACAGATTTAATATATGAATATTATTACATACCAGCTGAGAGAGCTGCCAATATCTGACCTAGTTCTTCCCAGAATGTTGCCAACTACCTGTACGCACTTAACATTGCCATTTTGAAGAGATCACTTGCGACTGCTCCTAGAATTCCTGTGGTTACAATGTACGATCCATTTCTTCCCTTATTTTTTTCAAATTAAATATTATTCAAAGCATCACCTTTATATTGAGGTTTCAGCTTCGCAGAATCTGGCCAATTCTGACGAAATACCTCAAGTTAGCTTCGGCCACAGCCAACAAACACACTAATGCTTGACTGGCAGTAACATTTAGTAACAGACTGCCCATGTGAGTTGCCTCCAATACTATAAAAGGGGAAAAAATGAAATTTCCTGGACAAAAATTAAATATTTTTTGAGAAACGGACAGATTGCTACCTGAATTCCCCCTGAGAAGCTCCATGCGGTTATAATATGCACCCTTTTTCAGCGTTCGCCCCACCAAAAAACAATCTAAGTAGTTTTCTGCTGGAAGACAATGTTGAGCATATTAACCTGTAGCTGAAATTTAACGCCCCGTTGTTTTTCTTACGTGAACATTCGAAAATAAATCATTAACTAATAAAATCTACCCAGCCATTTCTCCTTTCTTGGGTGGAATTTCATCTCCGACGGATTCGCTCATGATTCTAAATTAATAAAACAGATGTATAAAAACAAAATTCGCATGCTTCAATAAAAAAAAAAAAGTCCACGTGAAATTTTACAATTTGCATAAAAGTATTATATCAGTGAAACCGTACTTTGTCCTTATTCACCATGAAAGCGGATAATTGTGATGAAACTTCTTTTGCTTTAAACCTCGGCATTCTTGTCAGCCATGCCATATTCGTCCTAAATATATTTGCAAACGAAATTTGTTTATTTTGCACTTGACGTTAGTCTTATGTTGCTGTTTCAATCCCAACCGGCATTTAATTCACTTATAGGCGTTTATGCTCCCATTGGATGAAAACTATAAACAGCTGAAATTAGTTCAAAGTGCATGCTTAATAAACCTTAGTATACTCTTTGCAATCCAATTCAAAAACATTCAAGCTTGTTCAGTTGCGTCGCGATATATACTCTGGTTGTTCCAAGCAGCGTCAAGCAGCTTCCACCTGCTGACAGTTTGGTTGTCTAGAACGTACCTGACAGACGAAGACCAATCCACTGGCATTCACATCTATGGTTGAACCAGCGCTCTTCTTTCAACCCGAGTGTTTCATAGAGATTTATAAAAGCGCCAATGCTTGACATGCTATTTACTACAAAATATATAATGTAAGGAATGCCTATTATTAGCTACCTTTCGAAACAAACGTTTCCCGCAATGAAATAAAGCTGAATGTCCTTTTACTTTACCCCCATCTCATCAGGTTTTGTCCAGTTTCCCTGATAACATGAGCAAATTGTGAGATGCCCCTTGTTTTGCTTTGCGACATAAATGTAGCTTCACCATAGCGCACGTTTTATGCAACTCTCCTTTTTGCTTGTAATGGAAAAAGTAAGTAAAGGAGTTGCTATTTTGTTAGGCTATTCAGAAAAAATCATACTTGCCAATTAGTGTTACCGATGCAAATAAGTTTTCTATAAACTCAAACTAAAATTACATATTTTTCAAATGTTGCTTAATCTTGGGATTTTTTAGGATTATTTTTATTTATGTTAAACTTTCTCATTTTTCAGAAGTATTTGGTATAGTTTAGAAATGACAGGAGGATTCTGGAAGAAAAAGTATTGCTGAGTAATCCATTTTCCGGCCAGGGAATCACGTTACAGTTTTACTGTTTTTGACTAAATAGTCTAATTCTAAATCACCTTGTAATGATATGATGAATAACACATTCGTCGTCCAACCTGTTGTGTTAGAAAGGAATGTTGGCGGCGCAGAAAGCGTGAGATTCACAAGTCTCTGAAGGACTTTGCAAAGTGCATTTTTGTGAAATCATACAAACATTCTTTCATCATGCATTTTATTTGTAATGTAAATTTTCATGCCAGTAAAATAAATACAAAACTCCAATAAGAAACCATACTGTAGTATTCACTGTGATTCAGATAAAACAGGTGGAATAAATATTTCAACACAAGGTAATGTATAAGTACTATTAAGAACAAGCACTAGTGCTGAAAAGGTTAAGGCCTTTGAACGTTATAACTGTAGAATACATCAAGGGAAAAAGTCTTCAGAATTGAGATCATTGTATTGTCTTCCTAGCAATTTCACAGGAACCACACTTACATCGCACTACTACAAAATTATATTATGCCAATTTGAAAATGTATATCTTTTAGTGGAGCCTATACTTCAAATTTTTTCTACCAAATTGACATGTTAATTCTCATATCAGCCTTTCAAAAATAAATACGAGTAACAGTAAATCTGAATAATGTTAGCACCATACAGACCACAAATTTGTGATATGCATAAATTGTAACATGATTTCTACCAAGTGCAATATCCTTTGCTAACAAAACAAAATACATGAGATCATAAATTAAATTCCTTACAACAGCGTTAATAATACTGAGTTCAACAAGCTACAGCACTAAAAATTGCTTGTACTATTTGAAAAATTAAATATTGTGCAAATGTGTAACCACATTTTAGGTGCTTGAGCTTATTCTCAAATAAGGTATGAGATTAATGTAATTCTTTATCAACATAAAAAAATTCCTAAACCCGCTCTCCGCAACCGCCGAATATTAGTTAAATGATTGCCAATTTCTTTAATTGAATCCACTTGTTCTTGTAGGTATTCAGCTTCCAGGAAATCACAGGAGGTTGGTGCATCATCATGAATTGTAGCAATTTTGTGAAGCTTTAAAAGGGACTAGAACAAAAGACAGAATATTGTTATAACGAGGATAGTGCATTGACAACCTTATAATTATAAGAAAATAAGTGTCGTGACATGATTGACTTTTTTCTTAAGATCTAAGCGCAGGCCATCATGCATCTTCTGCCAGTGCCCCATTCATTTCGTTATTCGGGTGCATTAATACTAGTAGCACAAATGCCGGCCACCTCTTTGTAGTTGTAAAAACAGCGATTAATTGTCATGCATGGCTCACGTTGCTTCATTTGATGCCTTTTTTGAAGTAACGTTGGTAAACCAGGTAAGTGCAATGATCATCCCTATCAAAGGTAGTAAGCCGCCTACACAAGAAGAAAATAAACTTACACCGCAAAAGTTGATTAGTAGAAATCAGGGTTACTCACACATGTTGAATGATAGAATAAAGGCCCACATGTGACAGAATACACATAACTCGCACTACAGTTCCATGTTAAGTTGTCGAATTAAATCCATTGTTCGCATTCTTTTTCAAAATTCTGACGTACTTGAAACTATACAGTCATGCGTTCTGATGCGTAATTGATTGCAATTTACTATCTTTACGGAATTCTAACTAGCGAGAAGTGGTCACCGCAAGCTCGCCCTGTGTGAAGATCGTCACCGACGAGTACTCCAGCAACTGACCAGCGAGGTCTAGCGAATGGATAAATGACACCGTAATGGCCGAAGAGAGGTTCCAGGCGCCGGGTATAAGAAGTTAAAAACTTTGCGTACGATAATGACAGCTTGTAAACCAGCGAGCAATGCCAAAACGAGAGTCGCATTTTCTCTCTATGCAGTTTGCCCACTGCAGTGAAAGTGTGAACTGTTAACGAAAGTAACCAGACGAAAATAAACTAAGCAATCTTTGAGTGCCATAACAGTCTTGGTGTGATGCGTGCTTGAAAAGCGCAACATCTAGTGCTGCGACGCACTTCATGTTCACAGACAAAAATGTACCATCAGCCCGTGCTAGAAAAGTGACAGAAAAAAAAAATGATGTTAAGTGAGGTTTTGGAAACTGTTATATAGCGTTTATTTTCAGATTAATTCTTGGGAATATCCGCGTGCCACGCATTGGGTTTGTGACAGAAAATGAAGATCCGTTCACCAAGTAAGTAGGAAAAATTGGAAATTAAAAAAATGTTTGAGGTGATAACAGTGTACGTTTATACGGCATGCAATGCCCTCCGTTTACTATTCTGCTTTTAATTGTTATTTACAAAGCATTAATGCCTTGCTAATAATTGCGTAACTCGGTGTTTGCAATAATTCAAATTCAACGTAAAAAGCAAGGAATCCTAGTGCATACTAATGTTTCGATTTAAACATATTTGTTTATAATGAACTGTAGTCTATTTCTGATATTTTTCTTTTTGTGGCAAGCTTGATTCTATGGTTCCATATGCGGCGACCTTACGAGTTTATTGTCCCTAGTGTGAACAAGAAAAAGGGTTAAAGCGAATCGAAGAAGTGCCCAGATGAGATTAATGACACGCGAAGTCCAGCATTGATCAACAGTGGGCGAAACTTAGAAGGGTGCCTGCAGATCTAAATCGAGGCTCTACTCTCAAGATTCCAGTTGTTTGAAATCGAGTCATACTTCTTTGCAGATACTGATTTGTATATAAGTCTCATTGAGACATTAGGAGAAGCGTGTCAGTAAGTTTTTTAATACTATTAATCATTATTATTATTGTTGTTGATTGTTATTATTGATAATTTTTAACTGTTTATTAGAATAATTATTGAGACTATTTAAATTGTTGACCATGCACTTTATATTGAGTGTGTAGTTAGAAAATTATCTGGTGTATCTTGTGAAGGGGATGCGAGTACCCGGAACTTCCAGATTGCTCTGCAGTGATTGACTGGATTTCGAGTATGACTTCTTTTGAGCGATTGCAGCGTAATTTTGAACGTTGCCAAAATAATATGAGTATGTGTATTGTTCTTTCTAACAGTGTGAAGATATTGTTGAAGAACTCATGGTAGTCGTGTAATTGTTTTTCACAGGAGAGATGAAAAACTAACTTGTCAAAATATGCCTGCTCTTTCTCTCGAGCTTGGTTTGGTCATTCATTTCTTAACCTGAAATTTTAGTTTCCCCTGGTTGTCATAAAAAACGTATTGTCTTTCTGAGTGTTCGTGAAATTAGTAGTAAAGCGTTTGCTCAAGAATAAGAAAAATGGAAATTTGATGAAGCATATTACATTCAGTGATTGGTTAAACGTGCGTAACCTTTCTACATGTCCAGAGTTGATCGCCTGGCTTCATTTGTTTTGGAAGGACCAAATAGTGGCTCAATTTGCCCATCAAGTAGCATTGGCTGTACAGAAAATTTTACATCTTGGTTACATCATTAACCTGCAAGCTGTTATTGCGTATCAGAGGCCAATGCTCCTAATGCCTGTTAGAGTGCGCGCCGCAGAGCAGGCATTTTGCTCCTAGCGTGAGTGTTCCGTGTGTAATGTAATATTGCTCATTAACGCATTTGTAATTTATTGATGTTAACTCCGTTTCCATTGTTGTATTTTGGATGGTTAGCTGAGTGAATTATGATAAACTTGTTTATTCAAACTCTGTATGCTTTTCTTCTGTCATTTCTTGGGCTTTGTTTAGTTGTTTGTCTGCAGCGCTGACAGTTTTTCTGTGATGGAGTGTTCAGTGCCATCTTTCTTCATTTTTCAAGTCTAGCTTTTGGAACTTTTTCAACCGAAATGTGGGTGATTAGTCACATTGTGAGATTGAGATGTTATCGCATTAAAAAAAAGGGGAGGGCCCAGCCAAAATTTATAGGTTGTTGATGTTTACCGACGTTTCGTATCCATTGTCTAGATGCTGCATCTCTGATGAGTCGCTTTCATTTTGGCTTAGAAAAAAGGCCTATGCATTGCTGCTTCTGCTCCAAACATTATCATCAAAGAACTAGATACCTAGAGAACTCTATTACTGTAAATTATAAACCCAAGGTATTTTCATTATTCTTAATTTTTGAGATATATGTCTTTTAGTTTTAATGTCGCCCAAGAATGAATGGTGTCCAAGATTCAATTACCAAACTTTTTGGTTAGAGGTCTGTATGCAGTGGATAAAAAAATATAGTATTGATTTGTTCTTTAAAGTAAATGAATGCTTACACAGAAAAAACTGGGTAGATTATAATGGTTATGAGTACTTTCAGAAAATTTTGGCTTCATCACATTTCGTTAGAACATAATCTTGCTAGATGTTGACGGTTCCCTTCGACAATTGTAAATGTTTTCCATTTAAATGTTCTTTAAAAATAAAAATAAAAATGCAAAATACCAGTTAAAATAATTTACAAAGTGAAGTGAGCAGTTTTCACAACACCTCTAACACTCAAAAGTAAAGTTTTTCCAATCTCTGCCTATTTGTAACTACTGTAGCCAAGGTTGACATGAATTTTTTTCTCTATGCTTTGTTTTTGTTGGAAGCATTTATTTTCTAACCTATTACAAATAACTCATCATCGTCACAAAAAGCCTTCAGTTTTTAAATTTGGTTATTTTAAAGCTGCATGAATTCTTGAATAGTTCTGCAGACATTTTGGGGAGTGTGAAAGAGATCCATCAGTTTTTCAATGTAGATATATTTCCAGTAAATATCTACATCTTGGTTCGCTTCTGTGTGATGATGAATAGTCTGTACCTACGTAGAAGGTCAATATTTAAAAAGATTACGCGATGGTTTTAAGTTGTGATCTGCTAAACATGGTGTGTAATAAATTGTTTTGTGCTACACAAGGTGCGTGTGTTACGATTGTATTTCAAGAAACAATGAAAGCATGTTGTCAGAAACTTAAATGTAGATAACATGAAGAGAGATTTTGGAAAACAGAACCCCAACAAAAACACAAGTACTGACCACAAGGTTAAAATCCGTGGCCTTGCTCTAGATTGGATTATGCTCCGTACCTTGAAACAATTAAAGCTCAGAGGAGTAGAAATGACGCTACTGGAGTAATGGAACATTATGTACGATACCTTTCTGATCTCTGCCAAGTAGCATTGTGGATCCTGTAGAGATCAATTTTAGGCCTTATTCCTTACTATATGTAAAACATATGCGCCTCGACAATTAGAAACAGAAAGCAGTTCTCGTTTACAGACGATTCTGAATATTCTTTGCAATAAAAAAACGTAAATAGTAACAATATAGATATTTCCAAATTGTCCATAAATTAACAAATTAATACTAAATGAAAAGAGAACTGTTTCTATGGCAGTTGTTCCATTTTTAGATGAACAGATCTTGTACTCCATTGAAATGAAACGGTATGGCCTATTAGGAGCTGGACTATAAAGTAGAACAGAACGGATTTTTTAGGTCTTTCAATCAGTCAAATTCTTAAATGGAACGCCCATGTTAAATGAATTGAACATAGATTAAGAGTTGCTTTATGCTACGCTTTTCAGAAGTCTGTTCAAATTCATTCACCTCGCGTACTGCTCGTTTGCTGCGAGCGAGATGTTCATTCTCACCTACAGTATGCGCATAATATCTTGGAAAATACATCTTACAGCTCCGCAGACTTTATAGATTACAAAAATTGTATGTGTAGGAATAGTAAGCAAGTCCCACCCACGTGATTCTTGTAAGCCTCTAATAATCTAGGTGATGGGTGGAATAATAGATTTTCAGCAAATGCTGATGCCTGATAACTACAACAGCTCAGACGTAGTAGTTCAGTATGCACCAGAGGTGAGCTGTATCACAGCTGCACTTCAAAAAAATTCACTACAATAGCATGTAGCATTTATTTTACAATGCCTGGCCTATAACGACATTTTAGGTAGTTAATTTACATTTGGATGTGTATAATTCTAAAAAACCTGTAACAGTTATGTGTACTTCAGCTTCTGGGGCTCAATGATCCCCATCGTCGATCAGTTTTTCGTCCAGTTTCCCTGATCATGAACAAAAGCTGAGATGGATCCTTTTTCGTTCTGACATAGAATGTAACTTTCAAAATTTGACTTTTCTCCCCAATAGCAATCACACACAGTTTTTTTTTAACTGTTTTGGTGTAAATAAATGATTAAATAACAGGATTGATGGAGATCAGAATTTGTGTGTGGGTTTGTAGTCAGATGTTTTTGCATGATTCAGAAACCTGACTTTGACAAAAAAAACAGTGCAAGAATCTAGAAGATTTACAGGGTATGTTTCAAGTCAAGTTGGGGAAAATTGTGTAACACCTGAAGGTATAAAGCTGGAAACGACTTATTTGCACTAATTGCTTCATTAGCCAAACAGATAAAAAGTGCTGTTACATGCTATAGTGCTTTTAATTATGCCTAAAGCACATTGATTAAATATGCACACTTTCTTCAGCAAACTCTAATCGTTAACCCGATATCACACATGTGAGCGATTTGATGATTAAGTTTCAGTTTTTGAAATAGGGTTTTGCTAGGTTTACAGACTGGCAATTGCAAAAGGAAGCGTAAACGGACGCAGGAACCAAAACCAAGGAAAATTTTAAATTGTTTATCAGAAATTAGCAAAATTATATTCAATGTACTTGAAAGTGTGAGGAAATAAGAACTAGACATAGAAACCATTCTGAAAAACTAATAAGTAAGCGAATTTAATTTCCAGAAAGGAATATCTGTATGAACGCTTCATTCTTCACAACTGTGATAGAAGATTACACATTTATAAACTTCATTTTAAAGTGAGCAAGACTGTAAAGTTGAAGATGCTTGATAAAGGTTTTTCACGTTCAAAGAGAAAGATAGTGTGGAGAGACAATCCTGCCTGTGAAATTAAAAGATTTGAACTTAAAATGTTTAATTTATGAGGAAAAAATCTGGGGATTGCCACTCTGGAAAAAAGTCTTGCAGTGTTCCTGATGAAAATCTTAGGGTTTGAGATCCTTGTAATGGAGATTTTCCAATACCACCTTAGATTTGTTAGGTGCCAAGTTCGAGCAGCTGTGTCAAGAGGAGATTCTACTGGCTGGCTGCTCCAAGTTGGTGCTTAGTTTCGGCATGTTTTCTCTAATGCAATTCCAGATGATTCTTTTTTGGCCTGATTAGCAAATAGGAAACGACCACATGTCGATCGTACCTTCCCCATTTTTGCCCTTGTGCTTACGATTATACGAGTAATAACGTGCGTACAGAGAAGAGTTATGTAGATGCCTGCCAGAAAAACCGATATTGATATTTCAACGAAATGACTTTTGGGCGTCCCCTGATTACCAAAAAGAGGTGTTTTTTCCAAAACGATCCTCCGTCGTGTCTGAACCCTACTGCACCTAAACCAAAGGAGTCGCAACTTTAACGGCTTCCAAGAGCCACAACTAAAAACTTTAGATATCCCGTGTGCGCCATATTTTCAGCGATCCACAGCGTGACTTTCCCGTAGCGTTTAACTCAGCTGTTTGCTAGCTGTTTTGGAAAGGGGGGTGGATGGACCATGGCATATATTCAGATCTTACGCATTGCAAGAACCGCAATAAATATATTGGCTTTATTTTGGAAACTGAATCTTTAATCGCAATTACCAGCTTGTTTTGTCATTAAGGGGTGTTAACCTTTTTTTCCCCCAAAAAGGTCAAGGGGGGGGGGGGCCAAACCGGTGCCCTAGATGCTCAATGTTCTTTTCTGCAACAAGGATGGCAAGACACTCCACTTTTTACGTAAACGCCATGTTTTCGGGCGACAATAAATGGTATGTGGCCCCTGCATCTGTTGGCTCGGCGTGTTGGACAGCTGTGTCCAAGCACATACGTGGATTTTTTCCAAATGGCATATTCCCCAAGTCGATTCTGGATTGATTGAAGCTTTGCCATTTTGAAAATGTATTCTTTGACAATTGTTGAGATACGTGAGAGGAGGAAGCTCACGGCGTGTTGAAATTTTTCTTTAAATCTTTGCCTGTTTCTTCACAGTTACTCTGTATTTCAAACATTTTTCTTGTAAAAAGTTGCGAATTTTTTCAGTTTCTTGCTGTACACTTACAAAATTGAAGGAAAGAAGTTTTTCCTTTAATAGGGATTTTTTTCGTAAAGTTCTTTCGATGAGACCAGCTACATTTTTAAAGCTTATAACTTTTGGGCGTGCAATTTTGCGTTCAATGTGAGCAATTAAAATGATCAACACAACAATAAAACCAGACTTTCTCAGGAGAACAGGCTTCAATTGTTTCTTTTAAACTTTTGTAGGGAAGTAGTGCTAAATATGTATCCTAGTAAGATGATGTAAGGACGCCATATTTTCTCTTTTGCTTTTTGCCTTTTCAAAAAATTACAAAACTGTAAATTTTTTTGACTTCTCTCGCGTTAATACTTCAATAGCAGTGAATTTATGAGACATGTAACCTACAAAAATGATATCTTATAAAGTTTCTTGAAACTTAAAAATTTTATGTTAAAATGAGCCCAAAATTTTGTATTTCAGAAGTGCTTGAACTTAATT